GTACTTGTGCAGCTATTACACACTCCACCCTAAATCCTTTCTTAGCATGGTGAGCATGATCTCAGCATCCTGATCCTCCTTTCCTCTCACTGCAGAATTCACCAGATGTGTCTTTCATTGTCCAGAGAGCTGCCAAGTATGTTCCCTCCAGTTGGTTCCTAAACCATCTTTATAATAGAATGAATAAATCTTTCAAAATGTTTTTATTTATTCATCCAATCATCTCTTTGTTCCAACCATGATCTACCTGAACCATAGCGCCATAAAGATACAGCGCTATGTCTTTTACAGCAATGGAAACCAGTGTAACTTCTTCCCACCCGTGTGTCTACACATCCCTTTTACAGATAACTATTCCTCTAGTTTAGCCAAAGAATTATAAAGAGGAAGGAGGGGGTATAATACATGCCACACATCTCTTAACAAATGACAGCAATAAAGGTTCTAATCATTTTAGAAAACCCTAGAGTCGTCCCAGTTCCGAAGCTACTTACGGGATATTCACGCTGTTGTTAAATAAGCAGGCGATCTTTATCTGCTAATAATCAAAACAACAACAGCAACAAACCACAGCCTGTTGCCAGAGAACTGAGACAGTCTTAACAAGTTTTCCAGAAAATAAAATATCAGCAGATAACAGGTATTATGCTTTCTTTCGGCAAATGCGCACACTTCACAGCTAGCCTACCCTGCTTGCTTAACTGGATCTCTCAAAACTCACCAGGCGTCTCGCTTGCCGCCGCTGCAATTCCCTCCACGCGCTCTTTACAGCTTTTCAGAGCCTAGATGGGAAAACAGCTACAAAGCAGACTCGCTGAGAAGAGTTTTAAGGTCTCATGTCCATATTTACAAACCTTGCAATCTGTGTGTATTCATTTAATTTAACACAAATGAAGTGAATAAATCAGGAGCTCCTTTGGGAAAAAGAAAAACACACCCAATTTGAGAGAAAAAGAACAAATTACGTGGCTGAGGCAACTCCCAAATGTTCTCTGTCGCTTCCCAGCACCCCTAATGCACACCCTGCTTCCAGCAGAATTAATTGCTTTCTCGGAGCTCATTTAAAACATAATAGCATTCCTACACTACAGCATTTCGCACATATATTAATGTCCTCTTTTTGTTTGTTTTGTTTTGGCTTAGATATCTGTATTCTTGGCTAGGCCGTGAGTTCCTCCAAGGTAGAGAAAATACATTATTGTTACCAGTACCGGGCCTACACCAAGGCTGAGCAAATACTGGTTAAAATTGAACTGGAGACATAGAAACAGAGAAGGGAAAGAGAAAGGTGAGAGCAAGTGAAAACTCAAGAGAGATGTAAGAGAAGGCTTCACTCTGGGCCACCGGGCAGGTGTAACCCTGGTAGAAAACTACCCACAAGATGGCCTGAGAAGATGCAGCAAGTCCGGGGTGGGCCAAAGAAAGAAGGGCAGTCCCACTGACAAAAATACACTAAAAAGTTATAAACAGAACCTAATAACCTTTCCAGTGATTGTTTTAATCAGTTTGTCTTTGAAGACTATTGTGAGCCTATTTTCATTCTTTTTTGGCTTACTTTAAAAATAGTTATTAGGTAATGGAGTCTCCTAATTTCCTCGTCGATTGATCAGAAGTTCCCCAGCGTCGTGGGACTCTGGGGAATATTGGTCAGGCCTCTCAACCTGAGGTACTGGGGGCTTGGGGAATTCTGAGTCCATGGAATTATTTTTCTGATGATGTCATGATTTGTTAGAGAAGGTGAACTGCTTTGGTGTTTACCGAAGCAACTGGAATCAATACTCTATGTTTAGGCTTGGAAGTCAGAAACATTGATGACCACCTGGAGAAGCACCTGGAAGCCCTCCCTTGGGCCTCATCCCTCCCCTTCATGGACTGTCTATCAGTTTTTTTTGTTTGTTTTTTGTTTGTTTCATTTTTGTTTTATATATTTTATTGGGGGGGGGGTAAAGTTTACTTATTTATTTATTTTAGAGGCGGTCCTGGGGATTGAACCCAGGACCTTGTGCATGTGAAGCATGCACTCTACCATTTGAGCTATACCCTCCTCACATTTATCTGTTTTTAACAGGCACCCTCTGTGATGCTGAAGACCAGCTGATCTAGGAAGCACAGTCTCATAAAAGCTGCTTTGTTTGGTCTGGCTGACTGGCAGGAATGAATGTTAAGTTTCTAGGTCTCTCCAAAAGTAGCAAGACAACGGTGTAATTTCTCAGGTCTATGCTGGACAAAAGATACTAGTGTTTTTCCTTGGCTTGTGGAGAGGATGGGAAAGGATGCTGAGATTCTAATCCCTGGTTTGGAGTACCACCTCTTTCATGACAGTGCATTTCCCAAGCATCCCTTTGGGAAGGTATAGTCCCCCAGTTGCCCTGGAAGTGTAAAATCAGTCACATTTGGCAAAGCTCAATACACCTGAGCACGGGAAACACAAATTAACATAGAGATACTCCTTTACTCACCAGATTATTTGTTTGGTTACACATTTGCTTGGCACAAAAACAGAACCATCAAGACAGGGAGGACCTGTGTACTCTACACTGAAATGCTTGATTAAAAGAAAACCTCCACAGCAACCAAAAAAAAAAAAAAAAAAGAAAGATAGGGAGGACCCAAGTGTGTAGTTATCTGGCTCACGTCTGGTGACGGTCAGAGGAAACTTTAAGTCTCATGAGTGTTAAGCATGTTCATCCTTTCAGCCTGATGTAAGGAGATCACATAAAATAAGGTCAAACAGCCAGGACGGCTTTATGTAAAATTATGATCTCATTTTGCTCATAGACATTCATACTGGTTTTGGGAAGGAAGACTTTTCAATGCATTGAGCGTGGTGTTCTGCTTTGGTTATGGTGGAAACAACGTCCACCATAACCAGACTTTCAACTTAATTTCATTGTTTGACTGAGGGGGCGGAACCTTATGTATAGAGTCTTTCATCAAAGTCAGTAAGTTAATCTTGATTAAGCTTGAAATGAAATGAATTGCTATCAAACTGTTATTCTCTGAAAATCTTTCTCTTCTGTCACTGAGAGTCTAAGTGACCAGTTGCCCCATCACTGTAAGTGCCATTCTGCTTAATCCTAACATCTGTAGTAAAACCAATAAAGAGCGCTTTGTTCCAATCTGTAGTCACAGGATGCTTCTCTCTGGAAGAGGCCGAAGCCACTTGGTTGGAGATCGCTAATTCTTACTGTGCATTTCTGCTTAGTGTTTTTAAACTCCACCACGCAAGGAAGAATCTACTGGGCTACGGAGTTTCAGGTGCTCTGCACAGCAGTGGTGGATGCTGAACCTGGCTTTTGGACCTCAATGTAAAGTGATTTTCATGTTTAAGAAGCCACAGTATCCAAATGAAAACTAGACAGAATCAGCTCAGCAGCTGGACTCTACTCTCCCTACCCTGACCTCATGAACATAAATATGAGTGTGAACATCAAGAAAGGGAACTTTCCTTTAGCAGACCTGTCCCTCAGAAGAGCTGGTGTGGCCACCAAGGGTAAGACAGTTCCTTCTGTGGTTCTCAAAACAGCACTAAAAACTGTAGGAGAAGGCAGCAACCATCAAGAGGATGAGTGAGCAATGGCTCACAGCAAGGTCGTTACCATTACCACATGCAGCTCTGTGCCAATCACGTCAGTAGCAGGAGCTGACACTTACTAAGCACCAACCAGTGTCGGGCACTATTCTAAGTATGTGATGTGTACTTTTAATCCGACTCTAAGCACTTCTTGTGAGTGCTTGAGAGTTAAGTGTATCTCGTAGGTACAACCTGGCCTTCCTGAAAAAGACAAGAGAATGAATCATGCTATTTTGAAAAAACCCAGAGAACCTCTCTTTGGAGGTCACAATGGTCATTTCTGTTGCTGAATACTGGAGGATTTGACAAAGAATCTCTAATGAAAAAAAATCTGCCCTTATCTCAAAATAAGATGATCTTGGTGCACAGGTAAGATCTTCAAAATGCAGACTGTTCAGATGCAATATACAAACAATTGATATCTTGGAAGATAACCTTTCTGAAATGTAGTTCTAATAACCATTTTCCAAAGGAGAGACGGCTTAGGTTGCATGGTCTGTTAATGCTTGCCCAGACGTCTGAGACCCAAGAGATGGAGGGCAAGGATTAAGGCTCAGGAGATGATGACCAAGATTCCTTTTCTTTTTTAAAATAGCTAACATCTGTTCCAACCCAACAAGTTCGTATTCAAGTCCAACAGGAAGTAAATATGAGAGCAATTAAAATGAACCATGGTGCACTCGTGTGGTTTGATTTAGGTAAACAACTTCCATGGGAGAAGATGGCTGTGGATCAGGTAATACTCATAGCTGTAAAACCCAAGTAAGCTGTATATACCTCAATATGCACAGAACATTCTGGGCCATGTTCTTCCATGCTAAACTGTCTCAGTAAAGATGAATTCAGTGATTGGAATCAGGCGTACACTCACCCAGTGAAGGTCATAATCAGCTCTTGCTCTTCCGTCATCGTCTTCATATAAAGTGAAACCTTCCCTCCGAGCCTGATAGTACTCCTTCCGCAACTTTTGGATGCGGTCAGCGCTTCCGCTCATGGGACGGCCACTGTAGGACATAATCAAACAAACAGTCACTAATGTACATTATCCTGGGAACCCACTTTTTGATTTTTTTTTTAAAGCAGCAGATACCCAAATTTGGAAGATTCAGTAATATCATTCAAATATTCTAGGAAAACTCTGGAAAAAATGAACAAAAAGCAGTCATTATGTACATAAGTTTAGCTCCAAGGGTCAAAACATCTAACTTTGGATTAATGAATGCCTTCTGAATGAGAAGGTAAGAAAAGGTCCAGACCTTTAGGGCAATTAAGAGAGCCATCACCTTTTTCTTATAATCATATGTACAGAGTTTGGCTAAATTTGAATGCAGTGTCTCATTTTCTCAAATAAGTGTTGCCTATTTGATACCAGTTATTTGAACTGAAGGTTCAGTGTGATGCAGAGTTGACATGTGCCACTGTTAATTGTAATCACATCTGTGAGTTTCTGGAGTGGGGCTGGGGTACGTGCCAATACACGGATGTAGGTAGGACACAGGGAAAGAAGAGAAGGTGGAAGAAGGTGGAAGTCATGCCAAGAAGTAAAAAAACAAACAAAGGGCTCGTCATAGTAGAACATGCCATCTCGGTTACTAGTCCGAGGTTCTCCTCTCTACGTAGCTGCATGTTCCTCTCAGGAATTACAGCTTCTCCAGTGACTTAGCCATTCAACCCCACACTGGTCAGCCAGTGGCTCCCTTTTAGTTTGAATCTATCACCATCATTTCAACAGAACCAACATCATGTGATACAATCATGGCTAGAAGCAAGAGGAGGATGCTAGGCAAGTCCCCACAGTTGTTCAACTACTTTGGCTCATCTCAGGCATAACTGAATGCCCTATCATGCCAGACCTTACATGAAGACATGGGGATATAAAAACGAACAGTTTCCAGATCTTGTCTAAAAAAGGCACAGTCTGGGAGGTGGGGGACTCAAAGGGACACAGAAGACCATAAACCACTGTAGGTGCTAGAGGTCTGCACAGGGTTTGCTGAAACACAGGCTGCCTAAACCTTGACAAGGTGAGAGCAGAGCCATGTAAGATCACAGAAAGCTCCCTGGAGGAGGTGACACTTTTGCTGAGTCTTGAAGGATGCATAGGAGCTCAACAGCTGGACAGGTGAGGTGAGGAAATTTCAGGTAGAGGGAAGGACAACACAAAGGACAGAAATGAGGAAGCATCTTGCTTTGGGGAGTGCGAGGAAGTCAGTTTGGGCAGGCAGGGGTCCTCAACGTCTTTTGTCCTGCCTCACACACGTATCAGGTGATACGTGCTCCCTTGCCTCTCTCAGTTAGGAAACAAATGATAATAAAAGTGAGTGCTGGTACTTAACGGATATTTTGATTTTACTCTAATAAATGACAAAATCTATCACTTGCAAATGTTGGTACTTTAACTCAGTTTGTAACAATTAATTATAATGATACTCATATTTCACTGGTGTGTGAGAATCACTGCTCTAGATACAGGGTATATGGGAGAAGCAGGGAGAAGAGACAGGTGGGACTTAGAAAGGCAGGTAGCGGCCCCTCTGTGAAGACCCCTATGTGCCAAAAAGATCCCCAACTATTACAGTTGAGTTTTAAGTTTAAGCGAGATATCTGATAAAATGAGATATCTGAAACCATAGAAAGAGGTCATCTACTATTTCATTAAAACATTTAAAAATTATACTTGTAAACTCTCAAAAGAAAATGGTGAGTAACCGTCTTTTGGAAGGAAAACACTCTTTCCCGAGCCAGACTGTTAAGTCAACTGGAAGCAGGACCACGTGTTTCAGGCCCTCCCCACACAGTCAGCACACAGTTCTCGGTTTCCTACCTGCTCTACGACACCTTTGACTAAGAAAAGACAGATCCTTGGGGATCGTATACCTTGATTTTCCTCCAATATGTATTTTAAAATTCTCAAAATAGTTCTGCTTCCTTACTGTACTCATAAGTTTTCCTCAAAAATTTGAAAAAGAGCATAAGAAAAAAAGGAAGGTCTAATACGCTTTTCTGAAGAACGGAAGGTGGGAAAGACAGCGCAGCTCAATTTTGAATAAGTTCCCTCTCTCGAGTTCTCTGAGCTGACAACGGTGCCTGAATCCACCATGCAGGCTTCTGCCAGTTACGTGAGTGCAGGAGCCCTGCTCAGACTCACCAGATGAGTTCAATCATCATGGTGCAAACACAGCATACATAATCTATTAGTCTACCCAAAGAAATTGAAGCACTGAATTCAAGCAGGATGAAGTCATCAGTAATAAAAGGAAAAAAAAAAAGAAAGAAACTGATAAGGCACTGTTTTAAAAATCCCCACAATTTTCCTACATTTGTGGGAAAAAATAATCAGACTCAGACGGTAAGCCATTCTTCCATATGCCTATAAATAAATAAATTTTAATATATGGGCTTGATCAGATTTCAGTTCCCAAATAGAAGGAATGGGGCAGGAATACAAAATCAGCTGTTCAGGATTCAGAAAATCCCCTATGGTTGACAGGAACATGACTATTTACCCAGGAAAGAAATCTGGCCTCAGAGAAAAACAGGAAAAAAGTCTAGAAATTCATAGACCATCTAAGTGCAAAACATGCTGCATCTTCTCCCTTGTGTGAATATTTTAAAGAACTTATGGGACACTGTACAAACTTTTCATGATAATCCATGATAATCTCAACATTATCTCTTCTTTTTTTTCCTCTTTCCAACCCTCACTCTACTTTCAGTAACTGTATCAGATTTTTCCCCAAGTAGTTGTTTTACATAATAAGATTAGGAATAGCAAATTCTGATTTCATTTCTCAGTTCTTCTTGGCACAAAACACACATGCGTTTACCATCAAATCAATAAAAATGATATACACAGCTATTGTAACTGAGGCAGTTAACATTCCATTTTGTGTTGAAGATGTAGGAATTTGAAGAGGAATGTAAAAATGCCTTTGTCATAGGCAGCAATAACTGTAAATAGTTACAATTTGTGGAATATTTTATATACCAAATACATCAATACAAACTTTAATTTGCTCCACTTTCTGCCCAGAACAGACATCACCAATCAATTACAGCCTTCTTTCTCCATGATCCTAGAGGTGGGCTTAGAATCCTTCTTAACCCAGACCTTCAAGAAGCCACTACCAAGTCCCAGGACCTGGCACTTGAGTTTACTCATAATTCCTATATACCAGGTATCGTAAACACTGCAAAGTCACACAAGAATATTTAAATATAGCTTTCATGGTTTTGCTCCATAGACGTGAGGCATCTGAGGCTTGTGGCTAATAGATGTACAAAGTCTGACTTCAAAGAAGGCTCTTTCCACCACTGCTTACTACCCTCCAGCCTGCGTCTCCTCCTTCATCTCATTTGTATCTTAAAGATGGGTCCTCGAACAACATATTGAACCAGAATGAAAGTGAAGGCTAGCCTTGAGGACTAATTTTCTGAAGACTCTTGTTTTCCTTCCTCTACTTACATGCTAACTGTTCTATTTTCCTAACTTGATGGAACTTAGCAGTAGAGATGTTAAGAATTTTGCCTGATAGCCTCAGAAGTGACATCAGCTTATGATGTAACTCAAATACTCTCGCAACCATATAAAACCTGGCAAAGTGTCAATAATCCCATCTTCAAGTTGCTGGTTAGAAAATTAGACTCTGCACTTTTTGTTCATTGGATAAAGTACAGGTTAGCCATTCTTACAAAAAAAGTGCCTGTCAAAGCTGTATCCCTACGTAGGCGATCAATGCCTCTCTGCACTTCAATGTGCTGAAACTTCACTTTAAATAAATTCAAGCCGTATAACAAAACAGATTTATACTGTAGTGATTTCTTGTAAATTTTACTGCCTATGCTCTTAAAGGCAGACGTACAGTCAAACAGGCTTTTCTTATAACAGCTTAAAGCTGGACAGAGTTTCAAGTTGTAATGGAACTCAGGAACCACGTCATTTTCTTCATTATCACCTATAGGAATGTATTCCCAAATGCAATACACATCACAGTAAGGCATTAGCTGCTCCTCTGGAACCTAACTCTATTCTTCCAAGTTCATAATTACCTCCATTGAAGTACATTTTAAAATGAATGTTCATTTGTGCATGTCATGGTCTCCTTCCATTACTACTCCACACTGAAGAAAAGAAACTAGTATTTACTAAGCCCCTCTGATGCCCTGAGTATAATATTTATGCTTTATGTACTTCATCTCATTTAATTCCCAATCGAACCTGTGAGGATGACATTGTTATTGACATTTCACAGATGAGTACACTGAGGCTCGGATACGTTAAGTAGCTCAAGTGTTGACTGGTGGACCAGGAGATGCGTGACTCCAAAGCCAGTGCTATTTCAGCTATATCAAGCAGGAGTTCACAGGCATTTCAAGGCAGAGGGAGCTTAGCACAGCACATTTATAGCCATACCTTTTGATCTTCTTTTATTTGCACAGATCTTTGTAATAAAAATAGAAATTGAAGCAGCTAAAGTAACAGAAATACATGCAATGAAGTCTGTATTCATTAAGGAATGATGCTGGAGCAACTGAAGATTGAGATTTCTGGGTAATTAATATTACATCTCCAACCGGCTCATGTGGGAAACTGGTATAAAACTGAATGGGGTGCAAAAGAGACTCAACATATGACAACCATCCCACATGAAAAAAGAAACTCTGGATCAGGACCAGGACTGACAGCCAGCCAGGGCTGCTCCTGGTAACGTTCACCAAGGACTGAATGAGAGGGAGCCAGAGAACCATTGATCCGACTTGTGAATTCATCTGCAATGACTTTGCGTGTGTGCCTAGTGGGCATGTGTGTAAATACGTGCACCCTGACTATGATTAAATTGTATACAGTTAATTTCAAAGAGCTGTGTTTCCAGATACCTTCAAGACATGTAGCTCTTCATTCCGAAGGAGGGGTGTTTCCTTCTGATGAGTGAGTACGAGCCTGGGGTTCAGATTTGGTGGTGCAGTTAAAAAACAGTTGTCATAGAATGAAACTTTAACAGGA